TATACAATTTTGGGCCACCCAGCATGCTGGTTAAGCACCATTTGAAAGTTTGTTACCTTCTCAGTGCTGATTCTTTCATAAGCTATAAAATACGGGCTTTCTGTTTTCCTCCTGTCAGGAATAAGTTGTAGGTGGCTTCTTAGAATGGAAGGTTGTACTGGTTTTCTATGGAGTTTAACAAATTCACTTGGTTCTATCAGAAATGATGGCACCAGTCGTATTGGAGAAGAATGTGTGGTCAGTGTGAATTTACACTTGAAAAGAGAACTATTGGCAAATCAGTGGAATAATCTTAGCTTTAAATCAGTTTAACTTGAATTGGAATCTCATTTTACTTGTGATGGGAATATAAAGTGTCAGTTACTGCCAGTTTAGCAGATAAACTTCAGCAGAGGCAGTGTTACGGACTGCTGCAGGGCTTGCTTCTTTCAGGTCATCATACAGCCGTATTGTGTAGAAGAATGGAGAAATGAAACTATGTGACTTCTATGTGAAATGCGTTGATTCTTCCATTTGGATAGCTGTGGAGCAAATATTCATAGTACCCAGCTGTTTCAGTGTCCAGTCTTGCAATCAGTTCTTCCATGTGTTTCCTTTCATAAGGAAACTCATTGACCCTTTGAACCTCCAACTGATTTCAGTGAGACTATGGAGGTTGTTGGAACTACTTGGATACAGAAATAGTTGTCATTTTGACCTCATGTTAGCATGATCTGTAGCAAACTTCTTCAATAAAGGTGAATGTTCCTGTAAAGGAAAATCTATACTGGTTTGTTTTTTTTTTTACTTTGTCGTGAAAGAAAATGTAGTGCTTAAATGAATTTTTTGAAGGTGTGTTTCATTTGGTTTTTTTATTATTTTGTCGTGAAAGAAAATGTAAAATGAATGTGAAATGTGAAAGAAAAGTAAATGAATTTTTTGAAGGTGTGTTTCAGTCCTTTCATATGACAAAAATTGCTGATTATGCAGGCTGTCTGGGGGATCTGATGGACAAACTGATGAGAAAATAAGGGATATTTATAGGAGAGGGAAGATACTTAATGAAACAGTTGCAAGAAAGGAAACTTTTTAAAACTTAGCAGGTGTCAGCTAAATTATATCTCGAACAATATAACCTCTTTTCCAACAATATAACCTCTTCTTCCTGTTAATATATTGATTTGAGTTCTGTATTTTTGGTCTCCTAATCGCTATGATTTGTAGTTTCCATTGGGAAGTGATTTAAAGAACAAATGCAGTTAATGTCTGAACAGATAGTCTTGTACTTAAGATAATTGAGGAATTTATTTCAGATCTTTATTTTTTAGCAACTCCTTTCCCCATTACTAGCGTAAGAAGATTGCTTTGGGATTTTTGTTACTTTCAGTTTGCTTCATTAACAGTTTTTTTATTTACTAGTGGACTCCTTGGGTATAAGGTGCAGATGCTTTCGATTTGGTGTCTAAATAAAAGTCTTGCTTTAAATGAGTATTTCTCATGAATCCGTGTTTTGCACAAAGCTGTAGCTTTATTAACCAAAATCTGAATTAGGACAAAATTTGACCTGATGGCATTTGGAAAAGTATCTTCTGCTGTGTTTGTATGGTACTAATCAAAGAGCTATAACGTTTTTGGTGCAATTTTAAAATATATAGATTAAAATATGTACAATAAATAATCATTTTATGGCAGTTAGTTTTCAGTTACTCTTACAGGTTATTGCTAGAAGCTAATGTTGTGTCTAATGCATCAATTAGTCATTACAGTTAGTTCTTAAAGTTCTTAAGTGTATTAAATTAACTGGGTGAAGAAAAATGATGAGAGAAAGAACAGTAACTTCTGGGTAGTTCTGCTAGTTAGGAATTTTTTAGCAGAATAAACATTAGCTGCTTACTCTCTTGAGTGTTCTTCAGAAGCATTTGAAAGAGGATATGATTTTTGCCAGGTACTTCCCCCCCGCCTCCCGTTAGACTCTGGTTTAAAATCTAATTAAATTTAAATTTTTTTTTTCATTTCTTTGATTCCACGATTTCAGATGGACTTGCAGGTTTGGCTGGACTTGTTTACTTTCCGCTCTTCACTCTTTTGTTTTTTATTTGAGGCATACTGCTTGATAAGGAAGGAGAGAAGACATAGAGGGGGAGACAGTCAAGTAGCTATTTTTGTGTAAAACTAACCTTGAGAGAAATACAAGGAACTTGCGATTAGAGATTTTTCTCCTCTCTTTCATCCAACCATGTTTTAAGTGTACTGTCAGTTTCAAGAAAAGATGAGTGTACCTGCAGCTTTGTCCTGAGGGAGGGAAACTTGAGGTGGAAATTTAGAGGCAAGAGCTTTAAGGCAGTGACTTCCAAATGGCTGTACTGGAAGGAAACTTTGAGATGGTGTTGGGTTTAGAACTGGCTTAGAGCAGTTCTATGCCATCATAGTGATTGGGGGAGGGAGAGGAGCAGTGACTTTTGCATGAATAGTGTGTTCATGTGTCAACTTGGGGAGAAAAAAGAGTAGAAAATGCTTAAAAAACCTGCAAATTCCAGGGTAGTTAAATACTCGTTTATAACTAATGTTGACATTCCCAGGTTTGGAGCAAGTCGTGGAGGTCCTCTTCCTCCAAAGAAATTTGGTAATCCGGGTGAACGTTTACGTAAGAAAAAATGGGATTTAAATGAACTGCCCAAGTTTGAGAAGAACTTTTACGTGGAACATCCTGAAGTGGCCAGGCTTACTCCAGTAAGTGTTCAGATCCTGTCTGTTCCATTTTTTCCTACAACAGAAACTATATCACAAATGGAAAAACTTGTCCTAGGAAGTCTGGGACAGTGTGTAATAGAACTGTCTTTTCATTAAGCTTGTTTGGTATGTGGGTAACCTGCAGGGTACTGGTTCTAGTTATCTTCAATATTTAACATTAGTGAAGGTGGTACTTCTGCTCTTAGCTGTTTCTATACGAGATACTTGCATTTAGTCATTTGTAATTCATCATCATAACGCTTGTCTGGTCTAGCTATTTGTCAGCGTAGATAAGACTTACAGGGCTTGAGAGTTGCAGTACTGGGGAGACACTGAAAGAACCTAAAACAATCAACTAAGAGTGGCAAAAATATATGAGAAACATTTGAAGGAATATTTTATCATAGTAATAACTGGGGCGGAAAGAGGCCACAGGAAATGTCTAGTCTAATCCTCTGCTCAAAGCAGGGCTAGCTGCAAAACTGGAGGAGGTTGCGTAGCGCCTTGTCCTTTTGAGTTTGAAAATATATCCACACGGATGGAGAAAGTTTATATCCTCTCTGGGTGGCTGTCCCAGGGCTTAGTGTTTCTCATGATATTCCCCCCCCCCCCAACAGTTTTTTGCAGCATCTTCTCTTCAGCGACCCATTGTGTAGTTGAAAGCAGTAGTTACATTCGCCTGTTAGTCCTCTGTCCCAAGGTAAACAAATCCAGCACTAGCAGTCTTTCTTTCTACCGCCTGTACTCCAGCCTCTAGCTTTCCCCCCATAATTGGACATGCCCTATTAAAACAATGTCCTTACACTGGGGGCTCAAAACTGGACTCAGTACTTCATATTTACTCATAGATACAGTAATCTCCCATTCCTACTTCACTCGAGTCTAGAGTATTTTTTTCCCCTCTTTAATGTATTTTTATATTTAGAAATAAAGAGATTTCATTCTTAGCTCGATGAGACGAACAAACAAAATGTTCTTATCCAATTACATAGACTTACAAATCTTCATGTGAAATATGCATGACCTATTTATATGGCATAAAGGAATTGAAGGAGGCATTGGCTGTTTAAGGAGACAACAACTTGAACTACTGAACCACAGTTAATGTTAGCTGCTGTGGCTGTGTTTGCCTTAGCTGGCTACAAGGATTTTCACGTTTTTCCCAGAAGTTAATTTATTTTTTTTACCTTTTTGTTCAAGCTTAAGAGATCCTCATTTATTGCTTTGGTTAAAGTACACGTTTGGTGTTGATGTATATCTTTCTGTTGATTTTTAATGAGCATTAGAATAAGGTCATGAATTGTGGAAGCACGTTGCAAAGTGCAGTTGGACTTGCAAGATAACCTAGACAAAGATAAAATACTTGTTCTGATCCTATAATTATGCTTATATACATACACATTTCAAAAATATTTTAAGAAGTTCCATTATTAAAAAATTTCTGAGATCTTAGGGTGTTATTATGATGTTGCCTGGGCTTCTTTCATGCTGAAGAAAGTGCTAGTTTCGAAAAGATTCCAGGCAACACTTCTGAATTGCAAGTTGTCCAGCAAGAGCTCTGTATTTAACCACCTCTGGAATGTGTTAATTGAAGGAGGGGGACTGTCCTGCCTTCTGCTTGTTTGTAGTAAATTAGGGCCTATTTATGTTGTTTAGTTCTTAGCAGTGCCCCATAAAACATGTTTCTTATCTGATCCTCTGTTTCTAGTCACTTTTGAAGCTGTTTGATCATTTCTGACCTCTGGAAGAGTAAAATTCTTAAAAATACTATATTACACTTTTCATTATAAGGGCTGGTTGGAAGAAGAGAGAGACATTAGTCCTTCTGGACTACGTAGAGAGCTTATACCTCTGAATATTGTAGAAGCCATGTGATAGCTCAATCTCAAGATTAAAATCCTTAGGAAAGTAGTTCTTATTAGATCTTCATTTCAATTCTCTAATGAAGCCGTTTACATAGAGATATGAAGTGAGTTAATAGTTAGAAAGATGCACTTTAAGTCCGTGCTGACATTTGATGTTTGTCTTTCCTTTTTTTTTTTCCCCACATAAATAGTATGAAGTTGAAGAATTGCGAAGAAAGAAAGAGATAACAATCCGAGGAATGGAGGGCTGCCCCAAACCTGTGTTTGCCTTCCACCAGTGTAGCTTTCCGCGTAAGTATGTTGCCATTCTTTAAGATCACAAGGATTGCTCAAAACCAATAACTGTTTAGGCCTGTTCTGTGTTCTGAAAGGTCTTCTGAAGCCTTAGTTATCCTTTAAGAATTTTTTTCTTTTCTTAAATTCTTAGAGTATGTGATGGATGCCTTGATGGACCAGAACTTCACAGAACCCACTCCAATTCAGTGCCAAGGCTTTCCACTAGCCCTCAGTGGTCGTGATATGGTGGGCATTGCGCAGACTGGCTCTGGGAAGACACTAGCAGTATGTATTCTTCCTTTTTATTTATTTGGTTAGTTTTCGTAGTTACTTTGCAGAAATTACCCTTGGCTACTTGTTATTAGTTTTGGGGGCTTGTCAGTGTACTACAAACATAGTGAGATGATTACATGTTTTTAAAGCATGCTGTATTGCATCATGGGTGACACTTAAGTCTCAACTAGCCTGTCTTATTCACAGGCACGTATTTTGTATGTCTTTTTGGATGCTTAGTCACTTCTCTTTGGTCTATGCTTAGATTGTGGTTTAAAAAATAGTATGTGTTCTTTAGCATATTTGTTTTATTAACTGTGCAAGTTAAAGATTGCTCGATTCTACTCTTGGACTCCAAATTTAACTGAGCTTTCCTTTCAGAGGTGCTGACCGACTATATTTTGTGCTCATGTCAAACCAGGTATGGTTGGTCAGCAGCTCTGAAAATCTTATGTTCTATTGGATAACAAGTATCTGATTTTGCAGAATCCAGATTTCTATATAGCCAATGTTTCTTGCTGTCTCTCACATCAGGTGTTGGCTTCTTGAAGGGATGTTAGGCTAAGTGGGCTTTTGCCGTGATCCAGTTGTCATGGCAGGTGATAATTGGCACGGAATATTGAAGTCCTGTGTCTTGACTTGAAGTTCTTCTTTTTCAGTACTTGTTGCCTGCAATTGTTCACATCAACCACCAGCCATATTTGGAGAGAGGGGATGGCCCAATTGTAAGTAGTCATCAATTCTCTTCCTTTTTGTGTGTGTGGCATGGCATTGTTAATGAGATGTGTACTTTTATTTAATTGGTATATCAGAATAGCAAGTAGAGAAATGTTTACTATCACAATGTGAACATCCCACTCATTAGTTGAAATGCTGTGCAATTGCTGACATAGTCTAAAGATATTTAAATGTTTTAGCTATTAAAGAGCAGATGGTCCAACTTTGCTTGTGGTATCTGTGCAGAGCCCTTAAGTTAGGGATGCGCGTGCAGCTTGGCTATCCTGAATCGATTCCTTTTGCAGTGTCTGGTTCTAGCACCTACTAGAGAGTTGGCTCAGCAAGTGCAGCAGGTGGCTGATGATTATGGCAAATGTTCAAGACTGAAGAGTACCTGCATATATGGAGGAGCACCCAAAGGTCCCCAAATCAGAGATCTAGAAAGAGGTAATTTTAAAATGGCCGTTGGCAGCTTCTGGAGGAGGTGATATTGTAAAATCTCTATAAAAATAAAACGATCATTTTAGAACCTGCTAGAAGGGGAATGTGTGTGAATGAGCAGCTATCTCTCCAGTTACAGTGATAGTGCATGTAGTATTTCTCTTCTTTGTTGTGTAGCAACTTACTTGGATATTAGATTTCCTTTACATTTTCTCTTTGAACTTTCCACTTTTGAAGATCATCAGGACATAGGAAGGGGAGAGGAAACTTACCAGAAAGAGAAGACGTTATTTTTAGGAAATGCAGTAGTAGCAAGTTTAAGGAATGAGAAATCAAACTTAATTTCTGAATGTATATAATCTTCTTTAGACAGTGGGTTTAGGGTGGGTTTTTTTATTACTCTTGAGCACTAAGCTCTCTTTCTATTCATGAACCCCATAACTGTAACTGCCTTTCCATACATAGCAACGGGCTGGAGTTGGGAATGATGAGGAACCCTGGTTCTACAGCAACTACTGCAACACAGTAGTGCTCAAGTGACCTAACCTTCGTATTGAGGGCTAGTTACATACAGTTTCAAGTGCAGGAATGTGCTGATGGCTTTCATCTTCACTAGATTAAAAAAATGTTGTAGAATTATATAAAAAGATGTAAGAGGTATTATTAAGGTAAGCTTTTATATATATGTGTGTATATATACATATACACAGACCTACTCAAAAAACCAGAAAATTTTACTTACCACTGCAGTTTGCAGAGTCATTATTGAAAACTGCAGTAATGGGATAAAGGCATGTGTGGGAGAGTTCTCTTCAAGAAAATGGTAGTGCATTCCAATTCAAAAGTAGCATCTTCAATGGAAGAGTCAAAGGTTACGTGAAGAGACCTTGGGAGGATCGGCGTGGTGGGTTTTTGCACACATTTCTGGAGTGCTGTAAAATAGGAGCACTCCAGCTTTTGAAGAAAACCATTTGGTTAGGGCATGTGGACAGGTTCAGTGCTTTCAGTCCTTTCAGGTGTTACTGTCTTTGGATGATTGCTTAGTATTTTCTGCAGCAAAGATTGTTGAATAAAATCCAGGAAACACATGGGGTTTTTCTCAGTTGTGATTTATTGGGTATTTAGTTAATTTATTTTGAAGGAGTTCATCAGTGACAACAGAAATGGCAGTTCCTTCAGTCTCTCTGGCAGACTAATGGCTCCATTAGAAATCTAATTAAATCTTGCATGAGCTTTATAGAAACTAGAAGTATGCCCAGCTTTGACAACTCTGAGTCCAGGTTAACACAGACAAAAAGATCTGGGTTGCCACAAAATACTCTGCATACATCATGCTGTATCAGGAAAGCTGGTGGGTTTTTTTTGCTCTTTTTCACCTTACTGCTTACCTAAATTTACTTTCTGTGGACATTTCAGTGACACTGAGGGACTGGCATGTAAGATTTGGGAATCGGTGGAAACCAGTCCCTCTTTTTAAGGAGTGTATAAAGTGCCATACCTGATACTAGTTTATGAATACTTGTATTCTGGTTTTATGCTAACAGATAAGGGCAGGATGGTTGTCGCTATTGGTGCATAATTGGAGGGGGAAAAATGAAAAAAAAAAAAAAGTGAAAGTGGCACCAATTTGACCTGTCTAGCAAGAGGAGCACTTCATGTTTGCTTAATATGGAGAGTTTAGCTGGAGTTCGCTCTTGCTTTCCTAGAGAGCTCTTCAGACTGTATAATTCTGGATGAAGGTGGGTCAGGCTCGAGTAGAAGCTTTACTTCTGATTTTTGGACAGCTCTTTGCTGGTGTTTTCTGACAGTAAGCTTCTAGCTTCTATACTGCATTTATTATTCTAATGGCACTGTAACAGTAATTTCAGAATGGAGAATATATTAAAAGAAACTAGGGCTTCTACTGAAATGACTCAATCTTGGGTACGAATGAGGGTGGTGCTTTTTTATTTTTTTAAACAATTTTGCTCTGGAAGGTGATTCATTCTGACTAAAAATACCAATTGACATTCAAATGAAGAGCCTTACTCTTTTTCCTCATTCTGTTTTGAAGGTGTGGAGATCTGCATTGCTACACCAGGTCGCTTGATTGATTTCCTTGAGGCAGGAAAGACCAACCTTCGCCGGTGTACGTACCTGGTGCTGGATGAAGCAGACAGGATGTTGGACATGGGATTTGAACCCCAAATTCGTAAAATTGTTGACCAGATCAGGGTGCGTGGACCTTGTAAAAGGATACCCTCCTTTGGATTCCCATTCAAAGTCCAATACCTTAAATAAATATGTTTTCCCTTTTTCTTAGCCTGACAGACAGACTCTGATGTGGAGTGCCACCTGGCCAAAAGAAGTGCGCCAGCTTGCCGAGGACTTCCTGCAGGACTATGTTCAGATCAATGTGGGAAACTTGGAGCTGAGTGCCAACCACAATATCCTGCAGATAGTGGATGTATGCATGGAAAGCGAGAAAGACCATAAGTAAGCTGATCTTCCTACCATTTCAATTTTTGGTTGTACTTTAAAAACTGCATTGCTTTGAAAGCCAAATATGAATTCTGAATAGTGAGGTTACTTGTATTATTTAACCTTTAAGTGTTACAAAATAATTAAGTCTTGTAATTAACTAGTATGTTGGGTATATCTTAACCATACTGTTGTACAATGGACCTAAATTCTCTGTAAGTGATATTCACTGATTTATGTGGATGCGTGTTGTGATGTTCTTAATATAAGTGCTCCTATATTCTTGTATATGTGGATATACATCTTAGTTCTCGTGTCTATTTTAGACTGATCCAACTGATGGAAGAAATCATGGCAGAGAAAGAAAACAAGACTATCATCTTTGTGGAGACAAAGAGGCGATGTGATGATCTCACTCGAAGGATGCGCAGAGATGGGTGATTAGCTTCCCCCCTCCCTCCCCTAGTTTCTAGTGGGAAACAGAAATTGTAATCAAAAAGCAGTAAGGTTTGAATGTTCATGGTGCTGCTGTTAGGAACAACTTGTCTGTTGTTTTCTTGGCTGAATTCAGTCTTCATTTCCCAGAAGATTCCAGTCCATCAAAGCGTTAGTGCGAGAGAGAATATTTGTAAGCTGGGCAGCTTTTAGTGTATTGGAATACTGATACGCTAATCAGGACTGTATCAATATAACAAATGTGATTTGGCTTAGATGGTTGTTGATGTAGGCAGTGGGTTTAACGTGCAAAAACAAACCAGTATACATGCTAGGTAGATACGGGCCAGAGGAGGACAGGGAATAAAATATTTCTCAAGTCTTTTATTTTTTGCCTTTTTACTGAAATGCCAATAAAGCTTCCTGTTGCCTTTAATGTATATACTTTCAGTCTGAACTAATGTGCATCTCTGTTTGGCAGTTGGCCAGCTATGTGTATCCATGGAGACAAGAGTCAGCCAGAAAGAGATTGGGTGCTTAATGGTGAGTCCATCACTGAGGGGAGACTAACTCAGCTGCCTGCTGTACTTAATGTACAGAGATGTGCTTTTCTCCAGTCGTCTTTTTTTTTTTTTTTTTTTGGTAATTGTGTTTCTATCTGACAGATACATTTCAAAAGAACTTCCTTTGCCTTTGTACTGTTAATTGCAGTACTTGTATATGCCTTTTGGGGGGTTGGGGGGTGGAGACGGGGACAGGACGCAAAAGCTCAATGGTAAAATTGCTTCACCCAGAGAGCTGGATTTTGAAAAATAGTTGACATGTTATATTCTGTCTTGCTGGAGTTTCTGAAATTGACTGACCCATCTTACCTAGATTCTGGAAAATGAGCATTTAGTGTAAATCAAGTTCAGGTAACTTTTATCATTTTGAAAACAAAACTTACTTCATAGCATGCTTTGTTTTACAGAGTTTCGTTCTGGAAAGGCTCCTATCCTCATTGCTACCGACGTTGCATCTCGTGGGCTAGGTTTGTACACATAGACTGCTCTTGCCTACTGCTGCATATTTTTCTTCTTCGGACTGAAATATGTTTTCTTTTAAAAAAAAAAAAATTCAAAGCGTGATTTTCCCCCACATGTGAAATACGTTTTTTAACATTAATCTTTTTTTTTTCTTTCATATTCAAAGTCTCTTCCTGCTCCTAATGAACAGGCTTTGGTCTGCAGCAAGGCCTAGGCATGACCAATCGATCGCCAAGAGGGAGAAGAGACGTCCAATTATGCAACCCAACCCTTCCACCACACTCACTTCTTCCCCAAATCCAGCTTTTGTTGCTGGATGATAGGGATGGATTGCTCTCAGTTCAGAGCGTGTCAGATAAAGTTCAAGTAGGAAGTTGTGGGAGAGCATTTCAACAGCAAATAGCTAATATTCTCCCCATATGACACACCTCAGATTTGAACATACCAACCCCAGTGTACATGCATGTTTACCCCACAGATGTATTCACATCTGAGAAAGCACTGCTCCAGATCTTTGGTCTTGACATGTAACTTTCCCTCCTCTGTGTTCCTTCTAGGCAGGACCACTGAGATTTTATATGGCCTTTAAACATCATGTTACCCAAATGTGTAATTGAATCAAAATTGCACAGCTCTATTCTGGTGGTATGAAGATGATCTGTCTGGATGCATCAGTTGTGCCCCCTTTTTTAATAAGTTTGTTTGCATTGTGAAACACTTTGTGCTGAGCACAGTCCTTATACATGTGTCCACTCTAGAAGAGGAGGATGACTTCGGAAGTGCTCTGCGTTTAATAATGAACATTGAGTATTGCACCCTCCCTGAGTTTGGTAGAAGATAAACTACTTGGAGGTCAATGTCTTGTAGTAAATTTTAGACAAAATTATTGCAAGTCATTGCAAATCAGCTCAGAAAAATCTCTAGCTGTTAAAAAAACCCCTCAGTTATCTGAGCTCTCTTTTTTCATATGCTGAAAGGGTGGCTGTGCTGTGCATCACATGGTCACTTTAATACAGGCAGACCATTACTAGACTTGGCAGCCTTTGTTCACACGACCTTCACCCCTCCTTCCCCTCCCCCCTCAAAAAGTGTCCAACACTTCCTCAGAGAGGTGATTACATGGACTTCAGTCTCTGCCCTCTAGGGTCATGTCTGGACCTGTGCAGTTAGAACTTGGGCCTGTTGGGAGAAGGGACTGAGGCCTGAAACCAGTTTGTATGAAAGAGAGCTGCTTTCTCTAGCAGCATTTTTTAAACAGGCTTGCTATGTGCTGGTAGCTTCTTTGTGCATCTTGCCTAGACATTTAAAACAGCCTCACCCCCCCTCAAAAAAACACTCCCCCCAAAACTACTCAATTGGATAACACTTCAGAAAACAGTCTCCCCACTTCCCATCTCCACTTCACCTGAGCGAAGGGGGAAAGGTACCAGAGTCTGTTTCTTGTTACTGAACAACATCTCTGCTTATTTTGGGGCCCTGAGTTTGCTGCTTCTTAAAATAAGTCACTTAACTGGCAAACTTCTGGACGACTTCCTCCAAGATCCTGGAAAGTGAAGGCTTCTACCTAAATAACATAAAACAGGGGCGCGCGCCTTTTGGCTGAGTCACCAGGGCTTTCCCTCTTCCTAATGGAACATTGGTTTCAAAAAAGCTTCTTCCAGGTAAGTTCTGAGTCCCATAATGACTTCTTTGTGATAATTCCCTGGAGTGAGGTCCTCTCTGCACTGATTTTTTTTTTTTTTAATTTTATTTTTTTGTTCAGTTTATTAAACTAAAAACATTGAATTTGTTTTGTTTTGTTTTCTTTAACAGAAGCTTTGATATCAGCTGCAGATTACTCTCAGTGCAGGGGTGGGGGCACATCCACATTGATGGTCTAAACAGCTCTCTAGACTAGCATGTTTGCTAGTTTGTATCTCTCCTGATTAATAGTCGGAGACTGTGCCGTATGGCATTCTGATGGTCTGACAAAGGAAATGTTTCCCAGGTAGCTGTCAAAAATGAATTACAGTTTCAGTTCTTGATCCTGCTACATTATCTTCTAAAAGCGCAGGAAGATTGTGAGTGTGCGCAAACACTTTGGAGCATGCTAGACTGGAGAAGCCGAGTCTTGTACTTGCTCTGGTCTTTCTTCAGCAAGCTGCGTGCTCTACCAAGACCACTTCCTAGTCTGGAAAACACCTTTGCATTTTCCTCTTCCTGCCTTCCCATTCTTCCCGCTCCTCCCCAGTCAAGTCAGTTCCGCCTGCGTTGGTAGCTACAGTTCGCTGTGCTTTCTGCTGGGAAAGCATGTCCTTGTATCCTCTGTGGTAATTCAAGTCGCTTTGCTACTGATGGATGTGCAAAACGGGACTGACTGAGGATCATGTAGCCTGCAGCTTGTCAGGCTAGTTACACCCTGCCTGTGAAGATGCAATCTGTCATACGTACTCCTCTCTCTACTTCACTTTCCCCTTTTTAAAAAAAAACCTGTTGCATCAAGGACCCTAGCTGGAGACTCGCGCAGCCCCCTGTGAAACCTGCCTTCTCACTCCCTTTTTTTGGTGTGATTCAGGACTTTGGAGTCAGCAAAGACTGAGGAGCCCCCCCCTTTGCTGTAATAAGAAACAGACATGAAGTCCCCCTCTTGTCACTACATCCCTCTTGTTTTTATTTTTCCTACAACCCCTTTGAAATTGATGCAGTCTGGGCAATAGATGCAGTCTGACCCTTTGGATGTAATTTTTGTATCTTCATTTTTTTGACAATTGCCCCTAAGAACCCCAAATAGGGGACAAAAAGCGTTGGAGGACCTGAAACTTTTACCTGAACCCAGGTTCTCCGGCGCTTCACAACCAAATGGGGCTACAGAGAAGCGTCTAAGCCAGTTCACAGAGCGAGCGTGTGTGGGGACTTCTCGCTGCCACGGACCCTTGATGCATGCTCCCCGCGCTCCAGTGGTCCCGTGTCAGAGGGCGGAGTTTTCGAAAGGAGGCCGCCAAAAATAAAAGGCAAAGAGACGGGATCGGCTGCAGCGGTTTCCCACAGGAGGAGGGAGTGTGCATCGGTCTGGTAACAAACAGAGAATGTTTCTCTATTTAAAACAAAAAAGAAAGGAAATCACAAAAATCTGTGTTTTATCTTGGATATTTTCAGAATATTCTTCTTAAAATGCAGATTTTAAATTTTTTTTTTTACGAGCTGTTAGGGTACTTAATGTAATACAATGCTTTTTTAAAATATTGTATACTATAGCAAATAGGTGCTTCTGGTACTTGAGGTGCTTTCACTGAAGCGTTACACTAACACTTACCTTGTTTCTGTCCCGTAAGTTTACGAAGTCTGACTTCCCATAAGGTGTGCAGTTCTGATCTCCTAAATTTTAATAATATTTTGCAATCAAAGCAATTTGATCATTTCCTGCTTCCATCTGACCTTAGAAGTGTGGAATTGTTAATGGAATTCAGGATTGTCCAAATTAAAAAAGCTTGGCAGAACTGGATGGAACAGCATGGTGAAATGTTAGTGCAATGCATTCTGGTGATAACTACGAAGCTGAGTTAAGATATTCTAGGTCTAAATAATTTTTAATAAGTTGGCTGAATAAGACTAATGTAATTGGAGTGCCTTAAGCTTTAGGCTAGGGGAAGTAGTTCACTGTGTTCTATTAGGACTGTAAAAATAAATATTTTTAAGATTGCCTTTTATTTCATGTTGCCAAGTGGAAGGTAAGTGATCTCATTACCGTTATTATTTGTTAGACTTCTCCCAACAGAGTAAAAGCTTTACCATGGCAGTTCTGCCCTTCCTCCACCCCAGTTTGCTCTGTCGGATGGTGGCATTTTCACTTTCCAGATTGTGGGTTTGCTTTTCTTTTTTTTTTTTTTTTTTTTAAAAAAAAAAGAAAAGTATAAAATTCAGTTAGCTCATTCACAAACATCAGTGTCTTTGACACGTGAAGACAGAGGAATACATTCCGGGGAGGATGAATTTGAGTGCAGGGCAAAACTGCTTTAAAATTACCACTGGTTTTCAGGACACTGATCTTTGTTCCTGATGATCGTAAATATGAGTCTTCTACTCTTTTGGGATGAGTCTGTCTTGTATTTATCCCATGCAATTACTAACTTTGTATTTTTTTTTCTTATTACTGTCACCTGCATTCGTGCTCCCCACCTTTCGTTGGCACGTCCTCTCTTCTTCTCCCCTTTCCTCAACCCCACCCCTTCACTGTGCTTCGCACCTGGGCACTTCACAAGATGTGGAAGACGTTAAATTTGTGATAAACTACGACTATCCGAACAGCTCTGAAGATTACGTGCACCGTATTGGCCGTACCGCACGTAGTACCAACAAAGGTACTGCCTACACCTTCTTCACACCAGGAAACCTGAAACAAGCCAGGGAGCTTATCAAAGTGTTGGAAGAAGCCAATCAAGCCATCAATCCAAAACTGATGCAGCTTGTGGACCACAGAGGAGGAGGAGGTGGTGGTGGAGGTAAAGGCACATGGGAAAAGGGCTACACAGGAAATAGGTTCCCAGTTTTGAGGGAGGGAATATTAAAAGAGGGTAGGGAAGTAGTAAGATAGCAAACGGTAGATTAGTAATAAAGCTGTTTCGTACCTGAGATCTCAAGATGTTCTGTAGATGCAGTGTTTCTGTCCAAAAAAGAGGCAGTCAACTGTTTTACCTTAGCTGTATCCTTTTTCTTTTTTCTCCTGATAAGGTCCTCACAGAGCTAATTTTGCCTGAATTAATTAATTCCTTGCAGTTCCTACCTGAGCACAGGCAACAGGATGTGTGTGCATGCAGATGCAAAATTGAAATCAGTGAAGGGCTACCTTTTACCTTCAGACACTTTACCTTCAGGGACTAACACTATTTTTCCTTTCATTCCCTGAAGGAGTAGTAAGTTTCATTATATTTTCAATTTCAAGCTGGTCCTGAATTTCTTCAGTTTCTTTTGTCTCTGAACACATGTATTAAGAACCCCTTTTGAACTTCATATTTACAGCTTGAACAAAATGAAGAGACGCGTGCACAGCTGTGCAGGGAAGTTATAGTCAGTCAAGAGAACTCACTCCTTGTGGGCAAAATTGTGGCTGTAGAAGGGGGAGAAAGGGTGGCATAATAGTACCAGAGTTCATTGTTTAAGACTTGTTCACGGTACTAAATCTTAATATATTCATCGCCAGGAGGTCGTTCTCGTTACCGAACGAGCAGTTCAGTAAACAACCCTAACCTGATGTACCAGGAGGAGTGTGACAGGAGGCTCCGGGGAGTGAAAGAGGGCCGGAGAGACTCGGGTGGCTTCAGAGACCGTGAGCGTGGTGACAGTTATGCCAACGGAGCCAACAAGACCTATGGCAGTGCCTACGGGAGCCCAAATTCTGCTTTTGGGGCAGCACAGAGCCAGTATGGTTACACTCAAGGGAGCTATGGAGCAGCTGCCTGTGGCACGAGTGGCTATGGCACTGCAGAGTACAGTGCTAGTGGCTATGGTGCCAGCACCACAGCTGCCACCGCTGGGAGAACCTCACAGAGCACTACCCAACAGCAGTATGCAGGGATGGTGGGCCCCCTCCCCCCTCACGCAAATGAGACCACTCGCCTGCTGGTGACCAGTGTAGACCTCTTGCATTTAAAGGAACCTTTTCTTTCTCTTCTTTCCCATTGTGGTGTCTCTCTCATGCAGGTTAGACTTAGAATTCACCAGTCAAATCCCTCGAGCCCAGCAAAAATGGCCCCCGGTCCACATTACTGACCCTGTCCTCTTTTATTTTTTTTTCTTTCTTTTTTTTTTTTTTTTAAGAAATATATATAGTTGACTGGAAAATTTATTATTTTTTGTCTTGCATGTTGAGGAAATTGGAAATATTATTTTCTCTAAAAGAAATGGGTATAAGGCAGATAGGTCCCAGCTCGATCATCTTGGTGTCTAAGGTTTGTGTGAAAACTTGCTTTTGAGGGGAGGAATCTTCTGTTCTGTAACATGTTAACTTAATTTCGGGAAGTGTTAAGAGAGGTGGGAAACTTTGGGGAGCCAAAAAGCACTTCATTTAAAATGATAAATGCAAGGGAGCAATGCTCACTTCTTCTAATCTTAATTATTTTTTTTTTAATAGCTCACTATTATTGCTTGTAATCTATTGTAGGTAATTTTCTATAGGAAAACTCTGCTCATTTGTCTGAGCTGAGCGGTGCTCAGAGTAATGCCCCAGGCACGTTGTTTGTGTTTTCTGCAGCTTTGGAAGCAGTGGCCCCATCTTTTGGTACCTGTAGCAGCCTGCAGTGGGGAAGTTGGGATTAAAACCCCAGTGTTCAGAGATCAAACCCATCTTGTATTCGATACTTGGAAACCAGATAGTCACTGTAGGTACCGCTGCTATAATGTCTA